AACAGTATACTCACTCCATCAAGGTCACACCATACTCTGTCCATCAAGGTCTCACTATGTTTCCCCCAAGGTCACAATGTACTCTTCACTTTATCAAGGTCACACAATATTCACCTGGAAGGTTACACCATATTCTTCACCTCTTCAATTTAACTTTTTTTATTCATTATCTTGGGGTTAATGGGGTTCGTACCATAATCTTTACATCCACAAGGTCACACTATGATAGCCCTATTCTCAATATGTCATTTACTGCCACTCAAGGCTCTGTCATACTCGCCCTACTCAAGGCCATTCCTCTCAAGATTAAACCATACTTTCTCCCTCCTCAAGAACCAGAACATCACTACATGTTGATTTCAGAAGTACACGGGTTTTCCCATCAAGGTTATTGTTCGGGTCTACCATTGCAGCCACACTTTTGTTTTCAGTGATCTGAAAGTCACCTATATTTTCCTGGAATGGAAGACTGAGTCTAGGTGCCACTTCTACCATGGATGTCTCAAATGTGGTATTGTCATAATCGGCAACAAGGCATGGCTGCTGACCTCCCTTGTCTACCAAGAGAGACTGTGTTTCGTTAGTGAAGTCCATCTGTCTTTGCGAGGAATTGTTATAGCTGTCACAGGAAGTACAGTCTTGAGGAGCCGTATTCACCACAGACTCTGATTCACACTCAATGCTCAAATGAGATTTCTTTTTATTAAACAACATAGCCTTTTTACTGCCTGTATCCTCGGCCGTGTAGACGTGACTTACAGAGAAATTCTGGACCTTGACAGTCTGCGGCGTCCCGACATGTCTACCTGTTGGATTGACTGGTGTTTGACTGCTGCTGAAGATCCCATGGCTGGATGGTATGCCCTCGGAGGTATCGGGGCCGTGCTCAAAAACTGTGTTATCGGTACAATTCATTAGCGTGTCTTCATGTGCCGTACAGAACTCTGCAATATCAGATTCACTTGGAAACCAGCTCCTATTTGTTATTTCATTTCCGTACGACTGAGAATGTCCAAATCCTCTGGCACTTTGCCAAGATTCTTTACGATTTGATGGATCATGCGGAGGGTAGGACTTTCCATCGAGAGCAAAATCATATAAGAACGGCAGACTTTTGGCAATTTTTTCTGGTCTGCCTCTTTGTTTAGTCGGACTTGTGACGTATCTTCCATAGTCATTATACATGGGGGATTGGCTGTGTCTGTCCTCCATCAGCTGAGGGTGGGGCAAAGACTGGTGGTAGCTTGGCCTCTGGGATTGTAAGTACAGTTGTGAGATTCCTTCAAATAAAAGATAAAGAGTACCACAAACAGAACATTAAAAGCCCATCAAACTTTCTCTGAAACTTTGAGTTCCCTTTAAAAATGCTTCAAGTATGAGATCTTCACATTTCTATTTAACATGTCAAAACAAATAGTTGAAATACAATCACCCGTTATCTTTATCACTGTACCTTGACAAAAGATCCTGAAAGACACATCATCTATAGCTATTAAATGTGGAAGTTCTTAACTTTAAACACAGCTGGTATCTTACTACAGGTTCAAATCACAAAGAAATCACAGTGATTGGGAATATTGAAAGTTGTCTCTTAAAACAGCTGGTCTCTTACTACATGTTCAAATCACAAAGAAATCACAATGATTGGGAACATTGAAAGTGGTCTCTTAACACAGCTGGGCTTTTATAGAGGTGGTTGCATGAGCAGGTTTGATAAAAAAACATAATTGCTTCTGGTACTCCTGCACTCACTAGCAGTGGGGGCGGGTCCTCTGTGATGACATTCTCGTTCACTACACGAGGAACGTGCCTGGCGGCGACGTTGGGTCCGTGGCATGTCGATATCCTGAGGGTCTGGCTCCTGGGCACCGTGAAGAGTGAGGTAGGAGGCACAGCGGCTTGACCCCCCGGGGCCACAGGCAGGGACCATCAGCAAATGACCACCATTTATGCTGCTAGGCCGACTTGATCTTCGCTGGGATTGGGGACACATGTTCGAAGGTGTACCACGAGATGAATCCTTACAAATCAAAATGGGATAACTTGGCGTAATAACATTGTTGATGTTGTAAAATTAAAAATTATCCATTTTACAGCAGTTATGATACAAATGCTATCAACTTACATAAACACCCTTGTTGGCCCATATGGTAGCGTGCGCGAGGCTCCTAAGAGGGTATACCGAAGTACCTGGAGAAGTACCATGTGGTCAGGTAAGTGACCCTTTACCTTTTCATGTCTATCAATCTTGGTAAAGGGCGAGTGTTCTATCCACTGCACCACCCGACTACCCCATATCAATATTGTAGGAGTAGAAAATAAATACTTTTTGCAAATTTTGTAATTTGACTTTGAACTATCCAAGACATGGAAAATTTCTCATCAATGTTACTTTCATGTTGGGGAAAATTTCGCATTGACCATTCTCATGCAATATATAAATTTTATATGGTACCATTGTTTGTATATATTCATCACTTTTGCATTGCTTTAGTAAACATAAAATAGGACAATATCCTAGGCCGTGTTTGGTTGGTCATCAAACTCCCCAATAGATAATACCTATTACAAACAGTATTTAAATAGCATCATCTCATGATTACAAATTCAAATAATTTGCACAAAAAACCTACGTCATTGTTGAGCAATTGTGACGCGACGTCACATGAAACGAGGTGTAAGGTAGAAATTTCTTACACACCTTTCTTACCCTGGACAGCTCTATCTTACACA